CAAAGTTATAGTGGGGAAAAAATCTAAAGAAATTAGTAAAGGGATTTCAAAATTTTATGTTGCCTTGTATGCGATTTTCTATTTTTATTATTAAAATTTCAACTTTCTCTCACCTCAGATCTTCCTTGTCTTAAAAAAAAATGCCATCCAATTTTTCATATAATTTACTTCCACAAAAGAATTATCAAATGAAAATATAAAATTATTTTTATAGGAGATGTGAGACCCTTTAAATCTAATACATATTTGAAACTACTTTTGCAAGCATGTAATTGATCTTGGTAAAATTATGGAAATTAGAGTATAACACAACAACCAAGAAATATTTCTAAGAAAATGGTATAAAATTCATAATAATCTTTTCCCCAACAACTCGATTTATCGGGACCAGTTGATTTATTACATGTCTAATCTACATCTTCACATACTCTATGGGCAAAAATATATATTTTTTCTTTGAATCGTTGGGATATTCATTCATAAAAAAAGGGTTGTTAGCAACTGCCCTGCTAACTAGGCTGAATCAACCAACAAAATGCGAACAAAAGAAGGAAAGAAACCTATCAAAACCGAGTCTCTAAGGCAGGTTGACTAACCAAAACAAGGAAACCCTCTGCAAACCCATCACACACTCAATCTCTTCCTGAATGGTTTTCAACAAGACCTGGAATTCCTTTGCTTCCCCTGCATACAACTGCTTGCAGTGCTCCCTCCATATGTAGCTCACCAACGATGTAGACCTACGAGTGTCAATGCATCCAGCATAATCTGCGTCGGCAAAAGCTTCTACGGTGGGTTCACCTGCGGACGGGAAGAATAAGCCAACATCCTGAGTCTGCTTCAGGTATCGAAGAAGTCTATGAACTGCAGCCAAATGTATATTAGTCACCACTCCCAAGAACTGACTCACAACCTGAACTACATAGGCAATATCTGGACGGGTGTGACATAAGTAGATTAAGTTTCCAACAATACTCGGATAGAACGACTGATCCTCCAATAAGTTTCCACTATCTCGGCTCAATTTCAGATTTTGTTCCACAGGAGTAGAACATGGGAAACAATCCTGATAGGCGATTCTCATTCGACGTCCAATCGGATCATAGCACATGTACCGTTTGTGTTTGTCACTGTACCCGACAAACACACATTTTGCAACCTTAGAAGCCAACTTATGACGTTCTTTGTGTTGCAACAAGACGAAACAGGTGCACCCAAAAACTCGCAGAAAGGAATAATCAAGAGTGCGATGGTACAAAACCTGATAGAAGTCATAGAACCAGAGTGATCTGCCGATTAATCAAATATACCACTGTGTGAACCGCCTCCACCCAAAAACTTATCGGAACACGGGAATAAAAGAGAATAGCATAAGTGAGTTCCAATACATGACGATTTTACGCTTGACTACTCCATTTTGCTGAGAAACTCCAGGACACGATTGATGGGGAAGTATGCCTTTGGCTTTGAAGATATCAAGCAGTTCGTGTGATGATCATCTGAATAAATTTTTCCCGAGCAGTCGATGTTAACTCTGATTTCTTCTTCAGGAAGTATACCCAGGTAAATCGAGTAGCCTGATCAACAAACAAGATAAAATAGCAGTATCCCAATCGTGAGAGAACTGGAGAAGGCCCCCAAAGATCTGTGTGAACCAAATCAAACGAAACATCGTATACTGTACTACTATCAGAAAATGAGGCCTGTGATGCCTTAGCTTCCAAACAACTCACATTGACAAACAAACTTCTTCAAATTTAACTTGTCAGGCAACAAATTCTATTTAAACATAGCTTTCAATCTCTCGGAATGTGGATGACCAAGTCTATTGTGCCATAAATCCCACAAAGAATTGCCAACTGAAACATCCAAAATAAAAACTGAGTGATCAACATCACATTTATTCAACCCTAATAAACCCAAAGAATCCCGCCGACCCATGTTCACTAGCTGATCCTGCCGCAGCCCGTCTGTCATCCCCAAAACCGCATTCTTCATGTTCTGCCCACCTCACATGTCCACACCCTCAAGATCATCTAGGACAAACGTCCTACCAAGCTTACTTCCCTTCCCAATCACCCTCCCTGTCGTTTGATCCTGCACGACACAACCTGTGGAGTCAAACTTGACACAACAACCATCATCGGTCAATTGACCCACTGAAACCAGATTGGGAACCAAACGTGGCACGTATAGAGTGTTAGGTAGAGTAATCGAAGCTGATTGTACTGTTCCCGATCCGCAAACAGGGAGGTGTGCCCCGTTGGCGACTTGGAGATGCATATCCGAAGTAGGACGGATATCGGTAAAGACTGATCGATGAGTAGTCATATGATTAAATGCGGCAGAGTCTAAAAGCCAACGAAGAGACTAACTAGAAGCAGTGCTCGTGGCAAACGCCGAAGAAAGGGCAGGCTGAAGTACGTCGTGAGCGAGACGCTGAATCTGGTTGGGAGTCAACATTGGAATAGAAGCCACACTGACCGGACCAGTCGAACCCGCAGCAGGGAATTCAACAGGACATCTCGTTCCATGAGAGGAAGAACTGCCCGTAGGGGCAGGGCGGAGACGACCCTTCCTACTCAACGTCGGGCATGCTAAAACAATATGGTCAGTGCGCTTGCAGTAGTTGCAATAATTACGCTTCTTGCAGTGTATCTGAACATGACTTGGTTCCCGACAAAAGTGACAGATAACCTCGCTAGACCCTGAACTAACAAATTGCGGTCGAGTGGAGGCCGGAGGACGGCCAACCGTGAACGCCATTACAGGAGGGGAGGTTTGAGAATCAAGACGAGACTGACTCTTCAGTCGGGTTTCCTCACGCATCAGTTCAGCCACGACCTCATCAATATTCGTAACTCCCCGATGAATCAAGGAGGCACGATCTGTTCAAACTCAGACCGCAGCTTAGCCAGGAATTGGAGAACCCGAGTACGAGCTCGCTTAGTGATCACCGCTGCAGTAGCTGCCACATGAACAAGAGAGACAGTCAGCAAATCATACTCCGTCCACAAGTGAAGACAGGCCTGATAATAGCCACGAATATCTCTGTCGCCCTGAGCCAGACGACCAATCTCAATTTCCAACTCAAATTGGCGGGAAGCGGAGTTCTGCGCATAGGTAGTGCAAATGTGATGCCACATCTCATGGGCAGCCGTAAACTGGCGCAGACTTAGCGTCGTAGGCATATCAACGCAGTCAAGCAGCCACGTGATTAATTGAGCATTAGCAGCAGCCAAATCCTCCTTATCCCTCACGGCAGCATCGACCGCAGGTTCCTTGACCTCGCCCGTCAAAACTGATAACAAGCGTTTCCCAACTACAAAATTCCTAAACTAAAACTCCCATATGGCAAAGTTTTTGCCACAAACTTGATCGAAATCGAGGCCGCCTTAGACGAATCCATCCTTGCCAAGAGCTGTCACAAACAACCAACCAATACAGCCCTACAAACCAACGGAGACCAACACACGGCAGCTGCAGTAGAGAGCTAAGCTTAACCACAACAACCCTTCAAACCCACGCCAACCAAATAGGGCAGCCGCAAACCACCCAGACGTACGGCGAACAAACGGAGAACAAGAGCCGTAGCGAAGACCAAAACAAAAAACCCAACTCACCCGATCGAACGAGAGAAGCAATCCACATGCCGCCGCAAAGCCAAAACTCTCCAAACGAGCGAACTAACCTTTATAGTAGAGGCTCTGATACCATGACAAGAACTATGAAAGCAAAGATAAATGGACACCGAATTTTAACGTGGTATCCCTGATGATCAGTACTAATCCACGAGAGAGGTTGTGCTCTCCAAAGGGTTTCACTATACGTCAAATTGGCTTAACCTTACAAGATACAAGACTCGGCCATATATATGGGATTAACCTGACGTCAGACCATAGTTAGTAAATACTCCGTTTAATACACGTATATGTACCCGTACGTACTTTATCCGTTTAAAACTTCCGTATCCGTATTATTGTCAAGCCGTTTCATTTCCCCCCGTTCATTTCATGGTTCCCGTACTAAACACGTATAAAACCCGTATAACACGTTTATTATCCGTATTTTACGAATTAAATTGTTAACTTTACTATTATTTATATATTTATTTATTTTTAAAATGATTAATTTTATATATTTATGACTATTAACGTACTATTAAACGTAATTTTAGCTTAAAGATGAAGTATAATGCCCGTACGTATCTTTTACGTTACTTTCCCGTACCGTATTTTACTAACTATGCGTCAGACTACTAAAGTGGCTATTTACAGAATGGTCCTACATTTATATAAATTAACAAGGGGAACGTCGAAGATACTTGTGAAGAGACGAGAACCGACATGCAAGGAGTGGCCTCACTCAGCTGCAGCTTTGCGAGCGGAGATAGCAACATGACAACCCATTTAATGCCTCAAGTTGGGTTAACACTTAACAAGCCCCTTCCGTTTAGTCCAACAATGATGGATGAATGTATTATTTCACTCTCTATCTAATGAAATGATACATGTTTCTATAACTTTTTTATTTTTATTTTCACATAGTCTAAGGAGATTCAAATGTATGTCATATATATTTATGTATACGAAACCACTTTATTATAGATTTGTTATTTTTTTAAAAGTGTGATATAGGTTTTTTACTTTTGATGTTATTGTACTACGTAAAGAATTCAAATCTGGGACCTCCAGGTTCTAGGCTAGTGGTATTAACATTAGATCAACTTGAATGAATCCCTCAATCAACTTGGCTAGATAATTATATAACCTTTGTGGAATTCAAAATAAGCGAAATCCTTGATTTTATTTCTCCAAACATCTATCACAATTTACTCAAATGTACACACAACAAACTTAAAACCCATTTCAACTCATCCATGGAACCCTGACAAATATCAAGGGTCCCCAAAAGTTCTTATCGTACAAGCAAAGTGATCATTCTTTTTTATGTCTCGATAGAGAAATTAATTTGCCGGCCGGCCACTTCGAGTCCTCTAATCAAGGGCACTTGCGGTGGCCGCCGTGGGTGGTCATTGTGCCGTAGCAAGGACACTCGTCGTAGTTACCGGCGGTTCCGGTAGGGACGCAGCTGCACCGGACACAACAAGTCCCACAAGCCCTCTTGCACAGGTTTGGCCTACTTTATAATTGGCACCTAGCGTCGCAAGAGCTCCCACAATCTGTTACACAAGAAAGAGATTTAAGAAAAGGGGTGCGAAAAGGTAACAAAAATTGCCACAAAAGATGTTATGGCGACCAATTTGTGATTCCCCGCTGCCCTTGTTCGTTATGGTGACCAAAACAAGTTATGGTGACCAAATATCTTGAAACGAATATAATTTTCACATCTATAAAAAGTGCAATACTCCGGTTACTTTTAATATGGATTGAAAATTAATGAAATATAACCCACCGAGTTTTGGAGAGCTACCGGTGTAGCCCGTTAATCCGAAGGCCTTCTTGGATTGCTGATGATCATGAGCCTGGGCGAGCTGGAGGACGAGGAAGGAGATGAAGAAGGTAGCAATGAGAAGCCTTGAGATGGCCATTGTTTTTGAGCTAGGGGTTTCAAACTTGAAGAAGGAGGTGAGTATAGTGAGATGAGATACATAGAAGTGTGATCAGAAGGGGTATTTGTAGTGACGAGTTTGAAACTGGATAATCTAAGTTGAGTTGAATATGGTGTTTCACAAATAAAAAATCAGTTAATTAATATAAAGGCAAGGGAGGTTGTATTATGTAGTAGCTGAATGGCTTCAAATTATTTTTATAAAGTGATCATATGATTGCGGGAATAATTGAAAGTATACAATTAGTATATTTATTCAAATTATGATGTTTGATTAATTTAATTAATACTGGATGAGGAAAAGGTAGTAAGAAAGAAAATTGTTAAAAGAGAAGACAGAAGAAGGAAAGAACCAAAAGGAGAGAACATCATTAATCTCAGCCATTGCCAGCAAGTATACTTGATTAGAGATTCGCAGGAAGCATCCTTTTGCTGTTTTGCAGCACCAAAGGCCTTCCGAATTTTGATGATTGTCATCTTCAACTAAAAATTGGACCATTTTAGCGAATATGCTGATTGTATATGGGGAGTATTATGGACAAAATATTGAGGTTTAACGAATGATTGTGAAATCGTATTGTAGATTATTTTGGAAAAATTAGTAGTAGAATCTTTGTGTATTAAAATCGTAATTTAATTGTGGTTCAACCATTTTCTATTGTTAAAATTTTCCAATTAATTTGGGTTCGATATCCGATATTTTTAGTCCAACTGACCAGTACGTAGAATTTCTTAATGAACATTGATTTTTATTAATGGTTGTTAACCCAATGATAAAATACGAAATGTGGGGAACATTATTAGTTTTTGTTCCACACCAAAAGATATGGTACAAAACACCGAACTGTGGAACTTACGAAATCCGGTGTTTTATCATCATGTCACAATTCATGTCACTATGATACAATCATACAATAATATGAGGTGGTGGTTTTATTTTTATGAATGTATGCTCAATTTTATTCACCAAAATAGTGGAGGGTCCATAATAGGTGGACTAACTCCGAGATATCATCTTAGAAAATAAAAGAGACAAAGAGAACATAGCGAGTCTTGGATCGAAAATGAAAACAAAAGTGGCGGTGAACTGTTTGATCAAGGTGGTTGAAAGGTCGCCAAAGGTAACACAGCCGAGTTGGTCGGGGGTGTGGTCTTTCGGGCTTGAGAAGTATGAGGTCTCAGGTTCGAACCCCGCTACACCACTTGGTGTTCCCGGAGGCACCGAGAGTGTTGGAGACGAAGTCTCCTCCTAGTATCGGATGCTAGGCCTTGAAATGTTGCTGATGCAGGTACTCCCCAGGTTTAGTAGACAACGCTGCCACAAAGTGGCATGTGGGGTTGAGGTTCCTGGGTAATAAAAAAAAGGTGGTTGAAAGGTCAAAGTCCTCGTATTACCAGAAACTAAGGACAAGTGAGTTGTCGAATCATCACCGGAGAGACTTTTCTTACTTGCCCAAAGACAAATAGCTGTATTGATTTTGTTGATGATTCTCGTAGTTGAAGCTTGATTGTCCTCAAAGATTCGTGAACTCCTTTCAATCCAAAGGTTCCAAAAGATAAAACGCTGATTTTGTAACTCTTTAATTTTGTATCGTAATCCAAATCTTTGTCAGAGGCTGCCTTATAAGGACAAATGAACTTGAAATTGGAATAAAGTAATGTGGTACATGAAGGTCACTATTAGTTGACTGTTTAATCAGGGAAAAGTAATGCATAATGGACTGTTGGCAATGGGAACAAGTTGGTCGCTATAGATAGGATCGATGAAAGCGAGAGCTTCAACTTGGAAAACAATGCAGCTCTCACAACTGGCTTCTTGCGAGTGGATTTAGCCAGCTGGAGATGAAGTCGATCGTTAATTTATGATATGCTTGCTTAATTTTAAACAATATCAGGACGAGGGAAAAAGCAGTAACAAGGAAAATTTGTTGGGCACTAGCAGAAATGTAATGGTTTAGGATCGAAAATTTAGAGGAATTGGATTTTATTTCACTCAAACTATTTTTACAAACACTTGGCAATTATTGCCCGATACAAGAGACTCTCAAATTTGCTCACCCACTCACTCTCTACTACTTTGCTTCTTGCTCTTTCTCTGATGCCTCCAAGCCTTACAAAGGCTTCTATTTATACTAATGCACAACCACCATTGCATACTAAATATCATGATATTTGTTGTGGTGTTTGGTTAAGTGCATGGCTAGAATTTGCTTAAGCTAGGTGGTGGTTCTAGAACAACAATTTATTAGGTGGGTAGGTTTCATTTGTGGTTGATTTTGTTTAGGTAGTTGGCAGATTTCTTTGTGGATTTTTGTAGAATGGTTGGGATGGTTCTAGAGAATTGGGGATTAGATAGTTCCACACCCCCTCTTAATCCACAATTCGTATTTGCTCCTTGAACTTCTCAAACTTTTCTCGAGTGACTGATTTTGTCATGATGTCCGCTGGCTGATCGTTGGTGTTGATAAACTCCATTGCAATTTCTCCATTACTGACAAGGTCTCGTATGTAGTGATGTCGTAGCTCAATGTGTTTCGACCTTGCATGAAATACTGGGTTCTTCGTCATTGCTATTGCTGACATATTGTCGCAATGGATTATGGTAGGATCATCATCTCTCTGTTGTAGATCAGAGATTAATCTCCTCAACCAGACTGCTTCGCAAGCTGCATCTGTAGCTGCAATATACTCAGCTTCTGCTGATGATAGTGCGACGGTCTTCTGTTTCTTCGAACTCCATGAAATTGGTTTTGAACCAAGGCAGAAAATATATCCTGATGTGATTTTGCGATCATCAAGTGATCCGGCCCAGTCGCTGTCGGTATATCCTGTCAGCTTATTATCTGCTTCCTTTTGGTATTTCAGACCTAATTTTCTAGTGCCTTGAAGATACCTTAAGATTCTCTTTGCTTCTGCATAGTGAAGTTTACTTGGCTCGTTCATGAACCTTGATATGAGACTTACTGCATGACAAATGTCAGGCCTTGTGTGAGTCAAGTAAATAAGCGATCCGACTAGGCTTCTGTATAATTTACCATCGACTTTTTCAGCTCCGTCATTCAACTGTAATTTCTCGTTCAACGCCATTGGGGTTGATATTGGCTTGCAGTTTGCCATGTGGAACCTTTTCAGCATGTCTTCGACATACTTCTCCTGTGAGATGAATATTTCTCCTGGTTTTTGCTTCACTTGGATTCCCAGGAAATATTTCATTAGTCCCAGGTCCGTCATTTCGAACTCCTTCATCATCGCTCTTTTGAATTCCTTGATCATCTTTGAGTTTGTGCTTGTATATATTAGATCATCAACATATAGGCAGACAATTAAAAAATCCTTACCTTCTCCTTTCTTGATGTAGAGCGATGCTTCATTTGGACTTCTTTGAAATCCTTCTTGCTGAAAGTAGCGATCAATCCTGCTATTCCATGCTCGAGGTGCTTGTTTAAGTCCATATAGCGCCTTTCGGAGTCGGTAGACTTTATCTTCTTCTCCTTTCTTCTCGTATCCCTGTGGTTGCTCCACATACACTTCTTCTTCGAGTTCTCCATTTAGGAATGTCGATTTGACATCTAACTGGAATATTGGTAACTCTAGTTGTGCTGCTAAGGCAAGAACAGTTCTGATGGTTTCCATCCTGGCCACTGGTGCATATGTCTCGTGAAAATCTATGCCAGGCTGTTGTGTATAGCCTTTTGCCACCAGTCTCGCCTTATGCTTCTGGATTGATCCGTCCTCGTTGAACTTGATCTTGTAGATCCATTTTAGACCTACTACTGGCTTGTCTTTTGGCTTGTCCACGAGCTCCCATATTTTGTTCTTCTCGATCATCAAGATTTCTTCGTCCATAGCCTTCGTCCAGACTTCTTCTTTCACAGCTTCTTCAAAATATTGCGGCTCACAAGAAAAATAAGCTACATGACCAGCATCATAAATATCTTGCAATGATCTTATCTTTCTTGGAGGCGTATCTGTGTCTGTGATGACGTCTCTGAAATCATCTCCGAGTGGACTGCCACCTGGACTTGAGGGTGGATCCTGTTGGTTGTTGTCAGCATCCTCAGGAGTTGCAGCTTCCTCCAAAAATTCATATGTTGGTGGAGATTGTGTTGTTTCTGGCTCCCAGCTCCATTCTGACATTTCATCAAAGATAACATCTCGTGAGATCACCGTTTCATTTTTCACTAGATTATAGAGTCGATATCCCTTGGATTCGTCACTATATCCGGTGAATATAAGCTTTTCCCCTTTCTTATCGAACTTATCTCGATTTGGGGTAGATATATGAGCATAGGCTATGCAACCGAAAACTTTAAGTTGATTAACTTGCGGCTTTCGGTGATGCCATGCTTCATATGGTGTCTTGTTGAGAACTGCTTTAGTCGGTGACCTGTTGAGGATATAGATAGCTGTGTTGACAGCTTCTGCCCAGAGTTTTAGGGGTAGATTTTTGCCCTTCAGCATGCTTCTAGCCATCTCCACGATTGTGCGGTTCTTCCGCTCTGCCACACCATTTTGCTGTGGTGTATATCGAACTATCAGCTGCCTCTTGATGCCATTTTGTCTACAATACTCCATGAATGGTTTGTAGATGAAGTCTCCCCCACGATCTGTGCGGAGTGTCTTGATTGGTCGGCTGCATTCTTTTTCCGCTGCTGCTTTGAACTGAAGGAACTTGGAGAATGCTTCTGATTTCTGCTCCAGGAAAAATATCCACATCATCCTTGTATAGTCATCAACAAACAGTAAAAAGTATCTTTTACCGCTTATTGATGGAGTTCTTGTTGGCCCGCAAATATCTGCATGAACTAGCTCCAGCGGTGCTCTTGCTCTCCAAGCAGTCTTCGGGAAAGGCAGGCGATGCATTTTTCCATAAATACATCCTTCGCATATTTTGATATCTCTGTTGATGTTGGGTAGTCCGGTCACCATCCTCTTCTGCTTCAACAAGTTTAGGCCTTTGAAATTCAAGTGGCCATATCTTAGGTGCCATAGGAAGGAATCATC